ATTGATATGGTGTTTTAAATAGTGATATATCAGCATATGAAGATATTTTGATAATTTAATGTATCAATATTTTTTCCCTCGCCTTTAGAAGTTTTTAAGTCTGTAAAAAACAAGTTTTTGAGGAAGAAGAAGAAGTACTTTTTGTTTTTGTTTTTATAGACTTTAGAAACTCAGAAGCTGATCAAATATCGGGTTAAATATCGGTGGGGTGGCCGATGTCCGATATTCAGTTTTAAGGCCGATACAGGCCGATACCGATAGGGGGCCGATTATATCGTGCATCCCTAGAAAAAATCTTTGTGCATAGACTCTCATTAAAGTTGTGCATGCATATTAGCTCCTCTGCAATGCAAAATACAGGAGGTCCCAGAACTGAAAGCAGCTTTATTTGCACACCACCTCCCGACACAGCGCTGATGTCACAGTCTTCTTTTATAAAGTGCAGCTGATTTACAGGTTTATGTAATTATTTGGCAACAAGGCTTAGTTAACTGCATGCAATTCTGATTTCCCTGCCTCCTTTTTGAAATGACAGGATCTGACCCACCATGGATCAAGAGAGGTGTGACTGATTTAAAGCACTTTGCAAAATTTATGTTATTTTTTTACAGTTTCAATTCACTTCAGTTTATATATATAGCATCAATTCACAACACAGGCAATCCCTCACACTAAGAATGCATGCAGCGAAAGTGGAGAGGAAAAACTCCCTTTCAACAGGAAGAAACCTCTAACAGAACCAGACTCCGTGTGAGCGGCCATCTGCAGAGGCCGTCTGGGGTTCAAGAAGACAGAAGCAGATATAGAAAAAGAAACACACAGCCAGGCAGACGAGCCCTGAGCCACTGAAAAACAGGCCGATCCGGAACATTTTTGTTGACATTCATATAAATATACTAGTGTGATACCTTTGTATGAATTTGATTGGTTTTTGGTATACGTCTATTTTGAAGTTATAACACCCCTAGAGAAAACTCCACCAGCTGCCACTGGTAGGAGGCACCACCTGGTAGAGCAATAATAAATGTGGTCTGTTAGATGAATATTCACTAACCTCAACCTCTAAACAGAAGGTATATGTCTTAAGTCATTGGGCTGCTAAAGTTCATGATGATTTGTTGGAACATCGAAATTTAAAAAATAAAGAAAATTTGTTTTTTTGTTGTTTTTTTTTTCAAATCATGCTATTTGGTTTGAGCCCCTTTTACATGAAATTCTGCATGCTGTGGAGGTGAAAGGAATTTGACATTGCTGAAGATTATCCTGAGTTTTTGGTAATGATCTATTTTTTATTTTGGTGTTTTTATAACACTGTTTTCTACTCTCAGCCTCTAACCTGGCATAAAACAGGTTGATCTGTGTCATTCAATTAAAATTCTGAACAGCATCCATCTGGAAAGGCTCCAGTAGAAGGTATTAATAAAAGAGAGCAACATTCTGTGCAATTCTTCGAGCTGATTGGTTAAATCACCAAGTGGTACCTGCCTCCCATATCAAGCTTTTAGACAATCGCAGCAGCTGTGACGTATCACATTCTTGATTTGTTTTGCAAGTAGCAGAGTGAACTGATAAATTCAAACCTGTCAGGAAGAATGCGCTAACATCTTTCTCATCCACAAAGGCACAAAACCCGTCCTTTTGCTCTGTTTTTTAATAGAAATAGAGGTTCGTCCTGCTAAAACAGACTGAATATCGGAGTATACAAGAACATTAACCAGCTCAGCCATCTTTGTTTTCCTTCAGCCTTCCGCTTCTGGTTGACATCTATGGAGGACCTAGAGAGTCTCTGAAAAAGAAAAACAGCCATTTTAAATGTAACATTTAAATTATGCAATGAAATCCAATTTGAAAAGCATTTTCTAATTGCGCATAGAGAGGAATTGTAAATTGTATTTATTAATCCATTATTAAATACTGGAATTTGAACATGAATCTTCAAATCCTATTTCTAAATGTAAATTTAAAAAACACAATTCATAAATCTGATTATAAATATCTTTCCTAATTACACCTTTAAAAAAGGTTATACTTCATTCCATTTTCTTTTTCAACTAGTATTTCCAAATTCTTTAGGAAATTGCTTTTGTCTTTTTCTTTAACTGCTCCATTTACCCCCGAACCTTCTGGTCCCTGAGCACACTGAAAACCAGTTTAACCAATCACAGTTGCTCCTTGGATGTAATCAGCTTCCTCATTGGTCGTTTTGTTAACCTTTGTGGCATACTAACCAATGAGAGAGTTTAACGGCTTTCCATTGCGCTCTGGGACCAGAAGGGTCACGCAAAAGAAGCAGGTAAAGCAGAAAGAATGTGCAATTTAAAAAAGGATTTCAAAATGCAAGTTGAAGAGGAAATGGAACCTTTTTTAAATGTGTGATTAGGAAAGATAATCATAATGAGATTTATGAATTCTGTTTTTTTCATGTTTCCATTTAGAAATAGGATTTGAAAACATTTTTTTAATAATGGATTAATAAACACAATTTACAATTCCTCTTTAATTAATTCCATTGCGAATTTTAAAATGTGCAATTAGAAAATGTTTTTCAAATTGGATTTCAAATTGCATGATATAAATGTTGACATTTGAAACAGCTGGTTTCATTTTTGAGTGACTCTTTAGGTCCTCCATAGGCATAATATACATCAATGCATTCCATTGGTTCGAAACCCTTCTGTATGCGAGTCTAATGAATCCATTGGCTTCTGGAAAGATATATCTTCAGGAATCTGTAAATTCACAAAACTCGTGACAATTCATCTTATTTGCAAGTTAAGCCAGCCTCCAAATTCTTAACCTGTAAAATCATCTCTAGGCAAACTGGATTTTCCTTCCACTCAATGTTAAAATAATATGTTTGCACACAACACTCTGACGAACAAACTTCTTTAGCAATGACATTTTAAATTGGAATGAGCCAATAATTCTCTTGTGAACGACAATCAAATCATCAGTATTCTCTGTGTTTATGTAGGCCTAAGAACATAAATAACATTTACCATACTGTGTGTAATCTAATAATATTTTCCTTTCATTGTAAGCTGTAATTCAAAATAAAAGCTTTTAATAAATTATGCAATGTATAATTAATTCATAAACGATTTTCATCTTTTTTTCAAAATATTAATCTTATTAACTGAGAGGCAAATGTAAGACGATACCAGCATGATTCTGAACAGGACTAGTTTATCCGAGCAAAGGTCTGGGTTTTCTTCTTACCATTTTTATTTTTCACGCTCATGTCTCAGGATCAATGCTCTAACTTTTAATCTCATGAAAAATCCTTTAGACAACTTTTGATTTACGTCTGCAATGTCACCAAGAGGGGAGAGAGGGAGAGGAAGGAAAAAAAGGCAAAACGCCTCCCTCCAAACATAACAACAAAAAAAAGCATAGCTTCTGTTTCTTTTCTGATAAGCGTCTTAAATACCAAACAGTTAGCTGCTTAATAACATTCACTGTAAACCATGCAGCCTGCCCAGCAGATCCACAAAGTAGGTAAAAAAAGGGGAAAAGTTAATTTCTTGGCTGAGTGATTCCATCGGTAGCTGCAGGGCAAAGTAGAAAGTGTTTCACTAAAGTAGCAATTGATTCTTCTATCAATCTGCGGCACGCGTGTGCTCTTCCAAGGAATGTATTAAATATGAAAATCATATCCCCGTTATCATCTGTCTCCAGCTTTCAGCCCGGTAAGCTTCCCTTAATGAATGCTGCAGCCTGAGGGACATGCACACTGCCAACCAATGGCTTGTATGCATAATGGAGTGACGGTACCATTTTGCTCATTACAATATCGACAGGCTGAGGGAGGGGTTGGGTTGGACGTGGGGGGGTTGCACACAGTTACAAGTGACTGCTCTAGACAGCATGCTCCAAGTTATTATGAGATGTCTTAGGCATTTCATCTAAAAGAGCTTTAACTGCTTTAAGTGAAGGGAGAAAGCAGCTATGGGCTTGAACTACACTGCTTGTGCAGATTTACCCGCTAGGATTAGACACCTGTGCTATTACAGATACAGTTTAAACGTAGACTCCTCTACAGATTTACCAGGAGTAATGTCTGCTTTCTTCTGTTCTCTTCAATCTGAAAGCAGCGCCCCGATAAAACTGCAATTTGCATAAACCTTGTAAACATTTCAAAACAGAAGAATGTGGAGTAAAAAAAAAAAAAACAAACAGCGAAAACGTTGTGTAAAACATAAAGCAGGAACACAAAAGCAACAAGGCGGGATGTGCTTTAAAAGCGTGATGTTATTATCCCCCCCAAATATATATAAAAAAAAATATATTAACTGTTTTACCTGTGTTACTACCAGCTCCTCTGTCTTCTTTCTGGCTTCAGTAAGTCTGGAAATCTTTTTCAAAAAGGCAGCCTGTATGAAAAAGTGTTAAAATACCTGATCAAATATGTTAAACAATTGATAATATTTACTTTCTATTGCAAAAGCAACACCCTAAATAGCAGTGCTGAATAAATCAGAGTGACAACCTTTGAGCAGCAGTCTGTCTTTTAGTAACAGAGGGTTTTCTCAAGTGAGCGTACCCCATGTAGCAGATGACGCTCTACTTCACATTTATCTGACTGGGCAGAATGACTGCTTTAATCTAAATTCAAACAGCGCTTCAAATAATTGAGAACTTGTATATCAAAGGAACTGCGACACGTGCTTCAGCTCAAATACAAAGCCTTTTTTATTTGTTTTCTTTATAGAAACACTAAAAAAAACATTACAAAAGTATCTGGATGTTTATTGTTTCAAGTGTTTAAGTTTTTTTTAACAAAATTAAAAAAAACAAGAATTATTTCAAAAAGCAAACAAAAAAACATCAACATACAGGGTTCTGTTAATAGGTATCTCACTTCAAAATGAGAATTTATTTCTCTATGTGATCTACACTGTAAAAATAAAATAAATTTTAAAAACAGCATTGAGAGGAAATAAACCAACTGCTTGAGGGGAGAGAATGACTAAACCTCTGGAGCACTTCAGAGTCTCTATATTGGGCAATTAACTCAGTGAGTCATAATTAGCCAATTTTGTTAATTTGATATTAAGCTGTCAAGCACTGTCATTGAGTTTTAAGTGATAATCTGACTGGCTCATTGTTTTGTCCCTTGTTCATTTGCTTGTGGTGATAAATTGCACTGTTTGAGTGTTTACGTCTCTCACATCAAGCCACTGCGAGCGATTTCAATGGGCTGTCTGCTTCTCTACTATGCATTTTCTAAGTAGTAAATGTACAGTGAGGCAATTAGGCAAATGTGTTCAAAATGTGTTTGAAGTAATCTTTTTTAAGCCATTTGTTTACAGGCCATAGATGTTTTTTTTTTTTCAGTCAGATTATGAATAGAATCTTAAAATAAACCTTGTTCCATTGCTCTGTTGGGAATATTTGAGTCTGTTTATAAATGCTTTTTTATCAAGTGAGAATCTACATGAGCAAACAGAAACTGTGTAGACAAACGTGTAACAGCGTGAATGAATGTGGTACCTTTTGTTGTTGCAGGGGGCCATGGTCAAAATTATACTCCTTCATGCTAATTTCCATGCACTTCACATCTCTCTTAAGCTCAAGGTTTCTCATTTTCGCTTGTGCTTCTCTGCCACAGATTTCTTTCAGATAGCTACGCAGTTTGGAACACTTTATCTGCAAGCTGAAGGCATTGGAGAAGCGTTATTCAAGGGAAATATTATCTGGGAACATTGTCAAAAACTAAGAGCTAGACCTCTCACAAGAAAAGGTTAAGCACAATATGATTTGAATTTGAAGCGTGCTTTACAAGCCTCCTATCAACATGAGCTTAGCTGATTTGAACTGAAATGTGAATACGAACGGGAGTGAAAACATCCTCTTCTGCTTAGCCTTAGACATTTACAATTTTCTCGATAAATAAAATGTCAAACACACACATATTTTGACAAAGGTGCATTACATCAGGCTCCTTGTTACCTCACAATATGAGCCCTTTCTTTCGTTTAATGCCACTCTAAGAAAATGATAACAGGAAGGTAAAACCGTAGTTCACCAACCGAGATCCACCAATCTATATTTTTCTAATCAATAACTTTGACATGTTCTCTTTGAGTTCTGACCAGTAAATTGTTCTTGTTTTTTTTGCTTATATCATGAAAAAGAGAGAAAAACTGAGCTAAAGGTCAATCAATGCAGATTATACAATATGAATCCATGGAAAATGAAAAAAAAAAATACGTACAAGAAACTCAGATGTCTACATCAAAGCATCTATTTGGCATTTATTAAACTCAAGAGTGTATTTTTAAAACATTACCTTGCTTATGTGTGGAAAATGTTGCTCTATTAGGATAAATCATTTCAGAATATGTGAGTGTTTGACATGTTGGTAGCAGACTAGAGCCAATCTAGGAAAGATGTTCCCCTTTACCTAAAGTGAATAAAACAATCAGAAAGATCTCCTTCCCTTCATACTTTTATAAAGTGAAGGAGATCTTTTTAATACTTTACCAACTGGTGTAAAGTAATGCTCTTGTAGTTATGTATTTATAAGAGTAACACATAATCCCATATACATTTCCATGAAATAAATAAAACATAGGGCTGCATAAAGAGAAGGTATGATGTCCAGACATTCAGGTGTAACTTACATTCTTTTATCTGACCTGGAGAAGGCAAACAGCTCCCTTTCCAGCTCCAATCTGCGCTTCTCACTGCACACAGATATATAAAACATCAATAGTTATCTAATCAGAGGCTCTGGTCCATTCAGTTCTGCCTCAACCAATGTCATTTTAATACATTTTTACTTCTTCCCCTATGTGTAGATTCATTTTTTCATATTTTATTAGCTATTTAAAATATTAAATTGGATATCCATTAAGGGAGAAACTGATAAAGTACTTTAATTATAATTTTATTGCTAACTAGACCTACTTTATACGCTGTATTTTTACCATAGCTCAAATTAAATGAAGAATTAGCGACTTTTAAAAGAGTTTAACAATCATATAGCAATATGTCAGATCTTTAAATCAACTGGTATCGAAATGGGGATAGTATTTTTTGTTGGTAGTAAGTTTAAAAAGTTTAAGAAAGCCTCACTTTGTACTGTTAGGTAAGAAACAACCAAATGTTTGGGAAAAAGCTAACAGCACACGCGCGCACGAAAGACCTGTGTAGCATAGCCGTGTTAGCCTACCCCTTTTTAAACCGGTATAATTACTAATTGACAAAAACACGGAAAAGAGAAACATAACGGCTTATCCAAACTAGTGGGTTAACTTCGACTGAAAGTCCATTTATGACCAAAATGGCAGCTCTAACGGCATAAATAACATCCTTTAGCTACTGCTACCATTCACCGCGCGGCTAGCTCGAGAGCGCTGCGGCAGGAACGCTCATCCAGACGGTAGAAATTCCAACTCCACTCCCCAGCCCTCCTCGGGCCGACGCTTCTGGTGTGAAAAAAAAAACATAGAGAAATCTCACCATTGATGCATGTTTTGCTGAATCGTCGCTATCTTTGCATTGTACTCATCATCGCTGCAGGTCGATCCTGCCATTTTCACCGGTTTTGGAGCTGCAGCAGAGCCGAGACCAGCAAGGATGGCAGCAAGAAGGAGGCATAGAGAAAGGCGGACGTGTTTACCTTGGTTACCATGGGAACGGCTTCCCAGAAACCTCTGCTGGTAAACACAAAAAGCACATGGTCTCGTTTGAGAGATGCAATCACAATCTCTTAAATGTCATTTCTGATTAGTAAGGATTATAATCTGATTTGCCTAAATATGATACATCAGAAGCCTTTGTCTTTTATTTGATAAGCTGTTCCTTCCCTGACAGATACAGATTGATATCTCGTTTTGACAAATGGCAGTTTCCTATTATCTACTGATAGCATCTTGCTTCAAAGTTTATCACTGACATTTCTCAAAATGTCATGTTTTACCATGGTTATAATAATGAAACGTCATTTTTTATGTTTTGAAATATTTTAGGACAAATAAACGTGTAGTTCTTAATTATATACTTTCTACACCAGCCAAGCATCTTTTTTCTCATACCCTTTATTTGAAGTTTATTACATATATTGATACATTAAGTCTAAACTAATATACCAAGAGATGCAAATATTTAAAATACATAAGTTGTAGCAAAGGAGGTTTTTTTTTTCATCTCATGATCTTTTTCATTTTGACAGGTTGCAAAAGGTTTTATCACAATTTTAAGGGAACAGTATGCCAGGTAAACAGGTATATTCAGGTCCTTCTGTATTTTTTTCAATACTTAGGAAAAAGGATCTGAAAAGTTTGGCTTTTATTTGTAATTGGACCATAAAAATCAAAGCTTTATATAACCACCTTCTCCTAAATTTCCCTTTGGAAATCTCTAGAGTTTGTCCTATGCATTATGCACATGTTGAGACTAAAACTTTAAACGATTCATTTTGGACAAGTTATTGAAGTTTGGTCAGATCGGCTGGAATAGATCTGTTCCCAAGTTTTGCAACAGATCGATTTGTAACAACTTTAATTTTTAAACATAATGTGAATGTTAAATCTTTTTGTTGTAGCTGTGGATATGTTTAGGCATCTGCCAGTTTGTTTGTTTCTTGGGTTTTTGTTTGATTGTATTTTATTTTTTTTATTTTTATTTTTTTTCAAAATTTAATTATCTTAATATTTGTATCTTCCCATACAAGCTCCCTGGAACTAAGAGAAATAATTTCAATTTGATGTGCAAAATTCGCTATCATCATGCAGTTTCAAAAGAAGCCAAAAGCCACTTGTATTATTTTTCTTGGCACATTATTTCCTTAGAGGTCCGATTTGTGGAGTACCCAACTTTTTTGCACATCTCTGGTGTTGCTGCTATTTTTCATATATCCATTACTGTAAAAATGTCCACAGCTGTTATTGATTCTCCAGATATAGAGTATTTACATTGTAAAAACACGGTACAGTACAGTACTTTATTTGTTTAATTCTTATCTGTTATTTTTATACACTTTTCTAAGGTCCACATTGTGTGACAACTTCTGCACTGGAAAAATGATCTAGAAATAAGTAAAAATGTCTTGAATTAAGTGTATTTACCCTTAATTTGATTAGGTAAATGAGATTATTTGCCAATGGAATGAGTCTTTCTACTCTTAAAATAAGATATTGAGATAAAATGAACTTGAAATAAGACCATGCAATTGTTTTTTTTTCTTATTTTAAATTGGCTTGTTCCATTGGCAAAATGTTTCTTTTACCTTCTCAATTCAAGAACAAATTCAATTATTTTTTTTAAAAAAAGAAGACTTATCTAGATTTAGATTTTTTCCAGTGTGTTACAACCTTTTGTTGCTGGAAACACCACAAATTCCCCATTGTGAGACAATAAAGGGATTCACAGTTCTATTCTATTCTATTCTATTCTATTCTATTCTATTCTATTCTATTCTATTCTTAGACTTAGACTTAGACAGATTTTATTCGTCTTTTTGTTTACACAAGTGTAAAAAAAAAAAAAGAAATTTAGTTTACAGCTCTGGACAATTTAATCTTATTTAAAAGTGCAGCATTGAAAAATAGTAAAAAATAAATAAAATAGGAGCCCCTCCAGAGTAAATGTGAACATATAAAGTGTCTTTCTGATCAGTGCTGAATTTAGAAGTGCTGTCATATCTGCATAATTAGAAATAGCTACCGCTAATTTCTAGGTAGTGGTTGAAAAAACCTGCTCAGTTCCATTGTTCTCCCATTTTCATCACTAAAACCAAATATTGTACTTTTTCAGTGCATATTTAAGGACTGAACCATCATGTGTGCCCTTCAAAAATGAGTTTCATTAATTAAATTTGGTATTGTATTTTTTCTTTAATAGTGGTGTTGGGTGTTCTGCAAATTTGGCATTTTAAATAATGCTCCTTTTCAACTTAGATAATGACCATACTGATCATTTATAAGTATTGGCTGAAATCTCTGGAGTGTGTTCATTTGGATATTACATGTTAGAGGTTTGGAACCCAGCCCCTCCAAATGCACATTGCAATCAACCAATTTCCTCCAATTCCAGACCCGTCAAATTGCTCTTTAGCAGTTGAACAGGGGAGTTTTGTTATCCTTTTCTAATGCTAATCTGCCCTATTCAGCATCTCTCTATGAGGCTATTTGTTGTGAAATAAATCCCCTTGTTTGCCTCCTGCATGTATAATTGATATTGTTGCTGGGTTTTTATTTTTGTTTTGCCACTGAGAGCTGAAAGGCAGTGCTTTAGAAGCGGTGAAGAAAATGAGACTTGCAGCATCGCTGCTCCAGCTGAGCCCAGCCAAGGTTCTTGGGTGTACAATTAACCTTTGTTTGAAGTCAAAATGCTTGCATCGTGGATGATTTTCTTTATCATTATATGATTCAGAGTACAGTCTATACTCACACAGTCTTATACTTAACTGTCCTCTTAATTCTACTTCGGCATGTCATTAAACAGGTTAGCAGGAGGTACATAGACTCAGGAAATGCTGGATAAGCTTTATAGAGCTTTAATAAAAAAAAAAAAACGACTATTTTGTTATATAATTCATTTGCTTAGTCAAAAAATCCCAAATATACAAAAAAACATAATTCTGCAAATATACCACAGATTCTACAGCAGCCCTTTTACCATATTCATAGTTTTCAACAGGGATCTTGCACTTTTTTTATGCCTCTCCTGCAGCAACATACAATGTGTATAGCCATTGATACGCCCCAACAGAGGTCACAATTTGCATAAGAATTAACAGCTAGTAAATTAAATTGATATGCAGGGCACATCTCCATTGAATCCTTCAGACCTTTGTTCCTCTGCTTGGTCGATCTCATGTTCAGCCAGTAGCCTAGTCTGAAACATCTGTGTAGTTAATAATTTGATAAACAGCTTACACAAATGCTAAATTATGTTCTCCATTATCCTCCCCCTTTACTTGATCCTCTGTGTGCAAGACTCGAAACAGTTTGGCTCACCTCTCTGTGCTCTTGGGTTTATCTGTGTTTTGTTGCTTTTCCGCTGCCTTGGTTTCCATTGATTTATAGGTGAACAGTGTCTGGGGTTAATGCTAAAGATCAGTCCCATGTTATGAAAAGAAATGTGGAGAATGTTTTATTTATTTTTTTAATTTCTTGTGCATTCATATCTTTCTGGTAAACATTTTGAAAAATATTTACCACAATAACATTTCATAATTTAACATCTACGTCTTACCTTCATTCAAGTTAAACCCACTGAAGACCCAGAACTCTGCTGACTCCATGTGCAATTGTGACTTAAGCTCTGTCATCATTTACATTTTTTTGTTCATAGAGAACATTCTGCATTGACGTGCAAAAGCTTTTGAGTTTCATGTGTTAATTCGAATGTCACTTGTTTCTGTAATTGGCTGATAACTTCATTGAAAGAGATTTTAGCGGGCTATGTCATTGCTTCAGAAAGTAGGCACTTTACACAGATGCTGGCAGAGCTGAAGTCTGATTTTCATACATTTGTATTAAAGAGATTCAATATGCCCATAACATTATATTAGGTTTGTCTGTTTAAAACCAGGTTGCATTTATATGGCTGACATCTTTATAATGGGTGGATGTGGTAAATTAATTTCTGTATATTAATACATTTAATATATGGAAGGATAGCAATTAGCTAATTGCTATCAAGTGGATAAAAAGCAGAAACAAGTCACCGTTATTGTTTTATAGAATGGAAACTTAAGCAAATAGAATGGCATGAAGTGGAACTAATGTCCAGCGGTGTCCTTTTGGTTTCAGGGAGAAAACTGAAAGTAAGCTAGGCCGTGTTAAGACAGTCAGAGATTAATTGTTTTATTGCCTTTGTCTTTTATTAGTTTGGACAAAGAGAGATCAGATTGATGCCAGTGTTCCACTTGTTGGTTATTTGAATAAACATCAGGGTAGTCTCGAGTGCTGTCTGAGAGGACAATGTGTCAGTGTGGCTTTAAACAAAGACTCTCAGGTCTAATGACAATGGCTTCTTGTTACCCACATCTTGTGATGCGCAGTGGATTTATTTTATGTTTTCTAATAGTATCATACTCTTCATTTTAAAGGAGAATATTGCAAGTTCCAGAATTTTTGCAGAGGTTTACTTCTTTGGAGACATTTTTCCATAATATCAGTGTCATGCCAGAAGAGTGGAACAGAGCCGCAGTCTGAGGCTGTGAATGCATAGTTCTTTTGTTGTGAAGCATAGTGTGTTCTGAGGTAAGAAAGTTATACATGTGGAAGTTATTTTGAACAGAATATTTTAGCTTTTAAGTAAAGAGGGCCAACTGCAGGTTCTTTTTTCCTTCATAATGGAGCTCTGAGTTCCCTCCCTTAATTGAAAACTTCCAAATATTTACTTTCGCCCCCAATCTGACTTTTCATGACATGACATGTTTTATTTTCTTACATTTGTATGGAGTCTGTAATGGGGTTTGAGGTTCACTTGTGACTTTTTTCATGATCCATCTTCAAAAACAGTCACCCATGTTCTCTGCCTAATGCGTCGATGGCGGCGGAGACTCAACAAAGTAGCCAGGTGAACAAGAGTGCGCAGCGCATGACACCCACGCACATGCCCCAGGAATCCGACCCAAATCACTCTCTCATGAACTGACTAATGGAGCCAGAAGCAACCCTG